AGATATATTTAAATATAGATAATCTATATCTACTTACCAATAATAAAATCAATTATAATGATTTAAACAATTATTATAATAAACATATATTCCCGGGGTTTTCCTTTTTGTTGGAAAGGTGTTACAATATCAAACCAAACGACGATTCATAGCCTGAATCAAAATGTTATTACGGACTTGACCTGGTTTTCCCGCGTTTTTGTGTAAGTTTCACAACTTTTAACACTTAGTGGAATTAGTACGTAGGCGCAACAAAGACCAACGAATAACTTTATTCTCAATTTAAAAGTTAGTATAAAACGAAGTGTTTTCATTAATCGCGCCTACATTATACATGGTTATACCTCCGAGGCTAGAAAGTTCTGCAAGCTGATTGAAAGATGTTTGTTATATTATCTACGGATCTCTTAGGGCAACTGCATCATTTGAATGATTGTAATTGTGCTAATGCTGTGAGAGAGGTTGGGCAATCTCATGCGTGCACAGCATGTTCCTTTGTTAACTTTCTTATCCGATAAAAGTTGTTTTGTACATGTCCTCGTTTTCTCAAATTCTGAACAAATACCCTTGCTTTTAGGCACTTCTGTAACGTGAATACACTCATTAAACATTCAGCATTAAGATTGAATACCCCTTTTTAAAAGAATAGAACCCCTGTGATCTCATTTTTTCTGGTGCGTGTTGAAATATGTATAATTATAACCGTCATTATAGCTGTTCGTGACCTCCCTTGTTTTTGTTGTTGTGGCTATGTTTTTGTTCTAAACATCAACCGCTATTTCAAGCCGCCCCATTAATTTTCCGGTCAGGCTTACAGATGCATCGGAGGTTGAACACAAGCCCAGGGCACTGCTTACTCATTTATGAACAAACAGCTAATATTCCCTGTTCGTGTGGGGATATCAACACCGAGGTTGTTATCAAGATGCTTCCCGGCATGAGAGGGGAAAAGGGTACGATATCCCTTCGGGAGCTCATCCGATCGCAATGACCTGCGGTCATCGACGACTGTCCGATCCTCTCCGCGACGATCATCGTCATCCTAAGATTTAGAGCATGCAATTTCGCCCGGAACTACGACCGACGGAGGAGACATTGTCATCAGCCTAATCGATATCTTGCTTCCTCTTTTCTTTCCCTCGGTGGTCGTCCTGGAGAGTGAACCCCATTTCTACGCCGGTTAGGGTTTGGACAGCCCAACCCTCCGTTCCTCTTTGTAACGCACGTGCGCGCAAGGATTGGTTTGAAATTAGACGGATTCATTACCGTGATTACGTGCTTGGGTAGTTCACTGTGCGCCTGTTACACCTACCGAATTAACGACCGCTTCCGCAGTCACCGGACGTGTTTCTTGTCAGAGTGAGCTTCATGAGATTATTGGCTCTTAAAGGAGGTATAACCAAGATGGCACTTACAGAATATTGACATTTTTTGTTTGAAGCGACAGTTTTCGATCGATAGGTACTAAGCTGACCATCCCTGGTCAAATGATAAATGATCCATCAACAAGATCTGTTATGACCAAGTTCTGCTCCTTACTCATGTTATTGGACAGGTATTCATCTCCTCTCAGTTTAAGTTTCACTCTTCCAAATAAAACATTTAAAGAAAATCTAATTCTAGAAAAGGGACGATATGAAATGCTCCATAATCCATCTTACAACATGCGATTCCTCTTCCTACCACGAGGCTTCCTTTCCTCTTCCTCTTTACCCTCTTACGGATTTTTAATCCAAAAACTCATCCAATTTCCCCCCTTCTCCGTACCGATTCCGCCTCTTCAATCTTTGTAATCAACGCCTTATCACAAACCTCAGCATCTAAACTTGTAATTGCACCAATCAATAACTGAAATTGGATGTATTTTTTTTTTGCCAAGCAGCAGGGATGTAGGGCATGTACTTGTAAATGGTGCTGCCAAAAATGGTGACGGCCTAGTATGTCGTTGCATTTTTCTTCCTCCCAGCCCTTTTCTCTGCCTCGCAAGGAAACATGAAAGGAAGAAAAAGGCATGACCCCCAATTGACCCCGTTGTACGTGTCGTTTTCATACTTCTCCTGTCGGAGGTGAATATTAGATGAATTATGCACATGACCCTGGCTTGCCACGAAAGCCCACGAGGCGAAGTAAATAGTGCCATTAGTTTTAATGTCATTTTGAAGCACGTGCAAGGATTAGTTTAAGATTGCATGTAACTCAAAACGCGGTTACAGAAATGGTGTAATGCGTATACAGCGTAGAAGGTTAATATGTGAAGAAGAAAAAAAATAACTAAAGGACCCCAGATTTTGTTCTGATCTTTCTTGACCCAGAAAATCTCACAAAAAAGTCTAAAAGTTTTGCAATTTGTTTGATGGTTATTTTTGTTTGATCTGTATTATTTTATCCGCTTCTGGTCTTAACATTAACCGGGAGGAACCGTTAAAAACATGAGGTTCTTTGCAGTAGGTCAATTTGTATTTTTGTTTTAATCCTTATTTTGCGAATACGGTACATTTGTTTAGGATACTGTGGGCTAGATTATCAAACAAACAAACAACAAAAGTAGGTGATCCTATTCTAATTCCGGGAATTATCTCAATTTGCAGCGAATAACTGTGCCGTAATTAACCACGTGTTCACCTTTTGTGATACCAAGAAAGGTTTGTAGGGCGGTGGGTTTTTCACGCGGTGAGACAACCAATGTCTTACCATGATGCAAATCGGACAAAATTAATTCAATCATCTTTTTTCAAGTTTTCCTCTTTCATTGTACACGGATGAAGCACGGACACGATTTAGAACAGAGAGCATTTTAGTGGAACCATCTATTGATATACTAAAGAGCATAGATATATTAAGCAGAAAGGTGAATAAAACTCTTATTATTACAATAGTACCATATTCCCCCCCCCCCCAATGTTACAATATTACCCCCAATATTACAATATTACCCCCAAGATCCAAATATTACACTCTCAAAATTGAAAAGTTAAATCACTATTTGAAAGGGCCGAGAAGTGACCACTTTTTCAAAATGGTAGATTAACACTTTGAACATACGGGATCCAACATTATAAAGGTTGGCTCTAGCATGTTTAAAGTATCAATCTGAAATTTTGAAAGAGTGGTCACTCCTCGGCCCTTTTAAATAGTGATTTAACACTTCACTTTTTAGAGTGTACAATATTAACCCCGGTGTTACAACACGTTCATATCTACTACAGATTGGTGATGCATAAGGATTCAGCTCTTTCGATAAAATGTGCGAAGGTTGAGTGATTACCATTTAATAAACAAAAGTAAATTTACTATGACTTGGTGTTACCATCCAAAGGGAACCCAACAAAACTATGATTCTTTTTCACTCCATCGTAACAAAACTGTATATTTCTTATTCTTCTCTATTGAAACAAAATTAAGCCAAGAATATTTCAACTACTAGACTGACGTCAAAGTAGCTCACTTTCTCAAAATAACTCAATTATCATAGAGTTGTCAACCACAAAATCATCTCAAAAAACAACACAAAGAAAAGTAATGATGTGTGTTGATAAAAACTTGAGGATTACCACAGTGTGACGTGACGAAACAAACGACAGCTTTTCGTATACGAGTGGGCGTTCTCGATTTCTTAAACTTTTCCCCTGCTCATGTGCCAGTTTTTTCTGACACTTTTGTGGAAATGAATGACGTTTCGGTATTTATCCAGGTTCCGTTGGTTTTTTCCTCTTCTCTTTTCGCTTTGGGGTGACGGCCAGGAAGAAAGAAAGAAAGAAAGAAACACATGGGCTCGGGTGTTTTATTTCCCCAGATGACATGTGACAAGGCTAATCTGAAAATGGAACATCGAAATCTCGCTGCTGCTCCGGAAAGTCGCAATTTACCAGGCTCCCACAACTCCCTCCGGTGTCGACGAACATAAAGGATAGCATGATCCATTTACGTTACCTGGTTGATAAGTGAAAACGCTGTCGAGTATATTGATCAAGATATATTGATGCATTGTAGAGTCCACTATACGCCGATTCACGGATTCCCAGTCGGCGTCTTGTCGTCTTGCATCCGGCGCGGGAGATAAGCTATACCCAACTACCGCATTGATTGAGAAATGGAGGTGCAAAAGCCTTAAATTGGTGTGGCATTTGCGGCTCTCTTTATAGGATAGCGCCTGGGTGGGTGTTTTAGCGTGTTTAAAGATGTTGGAGACGCTTCACTCTGTTTAATGATGGCTTCCAAACAAACCACTTACTGCTAGATGTTAATTGCATTTTCCCGCTCTTTACCACGATCTGATCAAGAGGTATTAGGGTTTCCAACGACTTCACCGACGATCGCCGCTCTCGTAATAAGCCATCTAATCAATTGAGTTTGAATCGCGTCCAGGTCAAGTCCAAGCTCGACTTAGAGATTACTTGGTGCTGAGGAAAGCATAGCTAAATTTCACGAGTACAGCAGACACGAGATGAGCATTAGCGTCATCCGTAATTGCTCATAAGCTGGCAAGCGTCCAACGGTAATTCACATCCATTACATACATCAAGTAAGGAGTTGATAGTTTTTTTAGATCCAATTTGTCCCATGAATTCGATGCTCGCCGACTAATGTTTCCCCTCATTAAGGTAGCGCGAGTGAATTTGTAAATCAACCCTATAAAATAACACATCGGGTATACTTCTTTCCAAACTCTGGGCGCCATTTTCTATGATTGTTGTGAAAACCTTCTAGTTTGTAGGTAAGTTAGTGCAATCTCAAATGATTATAAATGTGGACAGTTTTTAATGCGGTTTCTATAAAACGCACCAATGTACTAAGAAGTAGTTATTCGATTACCGAATGTGCGAATGAAACGTGATCATGGTGATAGTAAATAGATATCGGTAATATCTTTCAGATCGCAGAATCGGTTAATCATTCATTCTCACAACCTATCGAGAAACATTTGACGTCATTTAAAAGAGAAATACACCGTCTAAAATTAGAGTTCTTGGTAGAACACCAGACGGCGCACTTGTGAAACCTCATCCGTAGTTACCGTTGACATGCTCATGATGAACATTTGAATTTGTCATGCTGATGTGCCCTGTACTGCTCTGTAAACCCATACTCTGCCAGCGCTGCCGGCACTGAGCAGGCAGGAGGCCGTTGATGAAGGCAGCTCGGTATCTGGTGCTCATAGCCATGTAAATGACGGGGTTGATCAGGGAGTTAAGGTACGCAAGCATCTGAGCAAAGTGCATGGAAACCTGCTCCAGCATAGTGGTGGATTTAAAGCCTCCCATCGCCCTCATGATCGAGATGATTTCGAAAGGGGCAAGGCAGAGAAAAAACGCCAACCCGTTGACGATCAGCATCCACGTGATTTGATTACGTAACTTGACGTTCTTATCGCGTTTGCCCATGATCTTCGCTCTCTCCACCGCCTGGTTGAGGCCCTTGACGATGCCGACAAAGAGAAAGACGTTGATAAAGAACGCGATGAAGAAGGGAATGGCTCGGACGCTGTCCGTGTAGATTATAGTCCATTCTTGAATGGGTACACACCACTGGAACGTCGTTGGCCAGGTGTTGTAAGGCTCTTCGTCGGGCCAAAAGGCACAGAAATTACGTATCTTACTGATGGCGGGTATGAAGGTTGCTGAGATGAGTCCAGCGGTGGCCCAGGAGCCAATAAGCAACCATCGGAACGTTCTCATGGCGGCCGACCCGCGCTCTTTCTGTGGACGGCATACTGCGTAAAAACGCTCCAGGGCTACAAGCGTTACAAAGAACAGGGAGGCTAAGTACGTGGTGTTCACCGTGATCTCAGTGAAGATGCAGCCGATGAGACCTAAATGCGAATGATCGGGGGTGATGGGCGAATGGACATACGCCCATATCTTATCACCTATGGCTATTGTCAGGAAAATGAGATCCGATATGGCCAGGTTGACGAGGCACGCGTTGGTGATTGTTTTCATGCATTGCACCCGGACCACCACGTAGATGAAGGCGATGTTGTTGATGAGACCGACGAGGAGAACGATTGGTAAAAGTATCGTGATGACGACGACTTGGGCATCGGAGTAGGAGATGAGAGAAGCGGCATCCACCGTTACGTTAACAAAGTATTCGTCGCATGTCGAGTCGAACGACTCGTTTTCGATCATACTATCCATATTTTCTTTTCTCCGTCACGACTGGCATGCAGACACGAACATAGTGAAGAAATTATTCCTCCCCTTGCTCCGACAAAAAAATTATCAGCTTCAATTGTTCGATATTTCCATTCATAATGATCCAGTATGAAATGTTCTTTCCCCTTAAATATTGGTTGCTGCTACGGGGAGCCACCAGTTACGTTGTGATAAGCTCACCTCTTTCTCCAGTTACACAACGCTAGAGCGCTTTACGTCTCCTACTCCATCAGGCACAATGAATAGAGTATCACGTGCCTAGCCGCGCTCTGATTGGTTGAAAAACAGAAAGTGGGTGGTGTCCAGTGCATAACTCTTCATATCACTGTCTTGCTTGGCCAATACAGCAACGCTCACTTTCTCACTTCTCTCTCTCTCTCTCTCTCTCTCTCGCCGTCTTTTATGTCAATTCTCGCTCCATTACTCTTTCACAGACACATTTTAGCTCAGATTCTTTTGACTGTTCCATCATACTTCTTTATCACCCCCCCCCCCTCTCTCTCTCATTCCCCCTATATCTCTTTCCTTTAGTTTTACACTATGGTTTGAATCACGTATTTTTCCTGCTTCCCTTATCCACTACTCTCTATATCTCTCTCTTTCTCTCCCACTCTCTATCATAATAGTTACTTTACATTCAACACCCCTATCCCCCATATCAAATTCCTCATATTCATGCCCCTCTATGTACTCCCTTCTTCTTTCTCCTTCCTTCTCTCATCTTGTTCCCTTTTACTTTTTATCATTCCGCATTGCTCTCATACTGTATTCCAGCGCTGTACTTATTACTCTTTTCCTGCTCGCCCAAACGACAGCTGAGTGACACGAAGAAATTGATTTGATCACGAAATGAGTCGGTTGTATTTACAAAGCTTTTCTTTCATACCAATAATGATACTCGGTATACGATCTTGTGTCAGCCAGGCTTTTCCTATATTTGTAATACGCTCAACACAGTGTTGAATTGGATGGTGCGGACAGATTTCTAATTGTTTTTTGTTTTTTTGTTCTTTTTGTCTGCTACTGTTGTTGTTGTTGTTTTGTTTTTTTTCCATTCCATGTGTTCAATATGCAAAATTACTTATTTCCTACGTGGATATGAGTCAAGAAAGATCTGTTATCATCTAAAATGCTTTACATATATTTCTCTCAAACACATATTAACGTCCCGTTACGCAGTGAGCTCAGCAGAAATACCATGAGTTGTTTCGCCGATTTCAACACTGCGTACATGAAGGCGAAAACGCAAGTGATGTTATTTCAACGGATTTATGAAATTCATCTTAGCATTTTAATGCAATCGATATCATCCGTTCAATTTGCAATTGTCTATCTTTTAATTGTCTTTATAATCCCGTTTTATCTCTCTTATCGAGCTAATGGGCATTTAAAACAGGTGATTGACTTCTATTTTTATCGTTTCAGATTACCAACTGGTATATAAAGACAGATACGAGATCCATTTTAGTTTTTTCCATGAGAGAAAATTCGTCTCAAGAACGGATTATATCTGATCGAGCAGCTACTCGATCGCGTTCGAATTCCCTCTGACCCATTTCAGGCCGCTATCGTCTGCATCATAATGATCACATAATCCACTGTATTATACGAGGCTTGATGCGCAGCGGGAAATGACACGGGAGATTTCCTATAAATCCCGTTGCTAGGAAACGTGGGCGGCATTTTTCAAAATGGAATGATACTTATCGAGCTTATGTCTTAATAGCCCCCCTTCCAGATACTCTTGGAATGGGCAAAATAAAGAGGATGTTAAGTAGACCGGGTTCCCTCTCATGTGCATGTCTGATGGTGCTTATACTGCTTAAAATTTATCCTTCATCTGTTTGGAACCTCTGTTATGCTGAAGCCAACAATAATCATTTGAGCATGTCTCTAAACAGATACGAGATGGCGCTACACACTGCAGCTCCGAAAGCTAGTCATACAGAATCTCATAGAATTCTAAGAATTCGTAAAAGTTATGTAAAACAACGAACTCGAGATGTATTACCAATAATTATCACTACTGCAGTACAACTTACAGTGGATGAGTTGCACATAAATACCTTATATTGCATGCACATTGTGAGTAAGTCTCAAATGATACTAAAGAGAATATTGTTTATTCAAGATTGTTTCAAGTGTTAACTAAACACAGTTGGGGTGGAGTATGTCAAGTTGTCAACTTAATCAACATATTTAACAACATTAACAGGATTATCAATATAATTATAGAAATGTTTTTGAGGATTATCACTCCCCTCTCAGTACTCTTTTCGTCTCGTTTTATTCATTTTATTTTACATTCATTGAATATCTACATAGTGTGCAATTCGTTATGAATTTTGAGTAAAGATAATAGTAAAAAATAACCCTTAAAGTGATCATTCAAAATTGTACTTTAAACATTAAAGATAAACTTGAGTTCTGGTAAAAAAAGAAAATGAATTCTCACAGAATCTAACGAAACTTACACTGAATGTTCAAGATTACAAATAAATGTCATGTGCCAAACAATTTTGGAAGAAAATGTATACTGGCTGAGTAATGAGCATAGAAAGATAAGGAAATCAGGGTGTAGTACTAGCCCCGACACCATGTGTGTTGTCCCATATACATCTTTCTGTGTAAGTGATTGTTACTTTACCAAGACTCTGCCAAATTTATGATGATTTTGATGACTCCAGAACCTTGCATTACACACCATTACTTACATGCTATATGATCAACTTTTCTGATCGCTTTTACACCTTTTCTTTCACAATGCAATCGCATTACCAGAACTCAAGTTTATCTTTAACATTAAATTTCGATGGTTCATATGTGACATAAATAGATGATTGCAAAGAATTTCGGAAAAAAAATCAACTCGAACATATTTGAAAACTTCAACCCATAAAAAATTATGAATTTTTGATAAAGTATGTAAAATCATGGAACAATGGAAATCACTACCCAAATTTTCAATTTAGTTATCAGTTTGTGACGCCATGTCCTCACTATTTATCAGTTGTTTTATATATTTTATTCCAATTAATTTCCCGTTTTGTCCCCCAAAACTTGATTTCCCCATGCCTTTGCCCAGGTCATATGATTTGTATCATATTGCGTGCATGACATTTCACAAATTCTTTTATGAACTTTGAAGAATTGAAACTATTCTCTGAATATTGTATATTCATAATTATTGATTTTTGTATAAATATTTTATCAAAATTCACAGCTTTCATGATTTAACTGAAAAAAATTAATCTATATTAGTGCTTTCACACAAAAACATATTACTATCAATCTAACTTGGATACTGGTGTGAGAATAAATAAGATTCTGATGGGGGGATAGGAAATTTATATTATCAATATAAAGAAAACAATGAGTGGATAGTAAGGTAATGACGTCACAGACTCATGAGTGACTTGCCAATTTGTCTTGTGATTTTCAAAGTTTTTCATGCCATCAGAAATTCATAACTTTCTTATTAGTTATCAGATTTTGCTCGAACTTTTTTTGATTGGTATGTCTGATTTGTCAGCTTCTATTGAAAGTCAGTTATTTTTGGAGTGGACTTGCCCTTTAAAAGTAATGGGAATCTTGCGTTTTAATCGTCGATATTATAGTAAATGTCAATTTCTACATTTGAAACATAATCAAAGTGTGAACAAGCGATGCGACTGAGGGTATACTTTATTTCTTTTCAGAAGGTTTGTTTAATATTAAAGTTTTGATTTAAATGAAAGTAGAGTAGAATTTGTATTAAACCCAAGAATCGTTATAACGGAAATAACTGATGCATCATTAAATGCAATGCGGCATGTCTTTGTAGTTACAAACTCTTCTATATAATTTTCATTTACCGAATAACAAATCCTCCATTTTAAATGTCAGAATAATCAACCGTCTGAAAGGTTATTCATTTCTTAGTTTGGAATAACACACGCTCGGATTAATGGGACTCTTTTAGATTAAATCGCACTCAATGCTCTTGTATCAGGAAACTTATTTGTCTTTGGAGATCTATACGAACTTTTTTAAATGAGAAACTTTGAAATATACAAAATAATACCGAAAACACCCACGAAGGTATTGACTTATTATTTCTCGCCTGTTGACAAAAAGTCATAGTTCATTTGTTATTTCTGGTAACATGACAATTTTGTATGGCATTTATCGACCGCACTTGACTTTTTTTAAGGTTTTAGAAGGAAGGAAAGAGTGACTATATATCTTTAAGTTGTAAATAAACTGCATTAATGTGCATGGAGGAATTCAGGCCCGCGGGAATATGAACCCGATAACCAAGATGAAATACATTAATATTGGAAGTAATATCGTGTTTTGTATAAACTATTTTAGGAATATTTATCTTTGATAACGAAGGGTACACTTCCTGTAGCCTTAATTTATCATTTGCATCTAGTTAAACTAACCTTTTCATGTCATCTTGTTGCAAATTGCGGATGTCACTAAAAACACCATTCTTTTTATAATTTTTTTTCGAAAGAAGATCAAACCTGAATTTACTTGTAATTGTCTATTGTTCCAAAGTTTTACCCCCCGAGTTGATATCTTTGAACAGAACATAAAGCAAACAATTTTATGATCTGTTGGTTGCAGAGAAATATGAATGCCCAGTCAGTACGTTTAGACTAAAAAATAGATATGATGTTTCAGATAAAGAATTGTTTTTGGCTCGTTCATGTATCATTTCAACTACAATTGATGTCATTTACAGAAAATTTCAGCTCGAGGTATTAACTGATATTCTGAATTTGAATGATAGATTGTATAAAACGAAGGTCATTATTTCCCCATTAAGTTCTTTTTTGTGACCTAGAAAATGAAACGGTTGAACTTTTTTGTTGGAAATGTACAATAGTACAAGATTTTTGGAATCAGCTTGGAAAAGTGCTGACTATATGTTTGATTTCTCGATGTTAACCAAAAAACGGTAATTATTGGTATATTATCGAAGAATTATATTC